CCTGAACAAAATATCACCAAATTATGTCTAGCAACATACAACATAAATTATAATACATGATGACCAGGAATCAAATGTTGGTTTGACATACAAAATCAATTGATATGTTGCCATATTGGCAGAATAAAAGAGAAAGATGATATGATCATCTTAAGATATGCAATAACACAATCTGAAAAAAATTAGTACTCATAGTATGTGTGTGTGTGTGTTGTGTGTATGTTGTGTGTGTATGTGTGTATAGATATGCCTCCCAAGTAACTTAAGAATAGAAAAGATCTTCAATTTGGGAAAAGGCATCTAAGAAAAACCTATAGCTAATTTCAAATTTAAATGATGGAAAACTGGCTGGGCGCTGGTGGCCCATACCTGTATTCCTAGCTACTTAGGAAGCAGCGATTGGAAGGATCACTGTTCAAACCATCCCAGGCAAATGGTTTGTGAGACTCTATCTTGAAAAATCCCCACAAAATTAAGGATGGAAGAGGTGCTCAAGTGCCTAGCAAGCATGAGGCCCTGAGTTCAAGCCCCAGTACTGCCAAAAAAAAAAAAAGTGTTGAAAAACTGGATACTTTCCCTATGATAGGGAAGAAGACAAGGATGCTCACTGTAAATCACTATTAAAGTTTATACTAAAGGCATCAGAATAAGAAGGGAAAAAGTAAAAGACATACTAAGTGTAAAGGAAGAAGAAAAACTCTTTACAGCTTATGTAGATATAAAAATTCAAAATGATTTCTTTTTTAAAAATAATGGTAAAGTTTATTCAGAAAGGAATTTAGTACAACAAGTTAAAAGTGGGGAGAAATGGGAAAAAAAGAACAGAGAGATCTTTCCTGTTCCCCAAATATTATTCCCAAATAATTTCTAAAACAGTAGCTAGAACTATTAAGTGAATCTACCAAAAGTATAAAAACAATGTCACTATTCAAAAGTCTGTTATGTTTTTATAAACTAACAACAAAGAATGTAAAAATGTAACAGTGTGTACAATAGCATCGTAAAATATGAACTACTTATAGATAGATTCAACAAAACTTGTGAACATCTGTACGTTGGAAATTGTGAAAATTGCTTAGAAAAATTAAAGAAGCCATAAATAAATAGAGATATTACTTATGTTTGTAGGTTTGAAGACTCGGTGTTGCCAAGCAGTCAATTCTTCCCAAACAGTAACACTGAGAATTCTAGCAGGACATTTGTAGAAATTAACAAGCTGAGATTCTAAAATTAAAATGGAAATGCAAAGGACTTAAAAAGCTCAAAAGCATTTGGAAAGAAAAACATAGTGGCAGCCTGGGGTAAGCAGAATTTTAACATGGCCCCAAGATTCTGCCACCTGCTATTCAGGTCTGTATAATCCCTCCTTATATATAGAAGTTTGGTCTTGATTGCAATCACTGTTCAGAGGTGGAGCTTTGGGGAAGTGATTGGATCATGAGGGTGAGGACTTCATGAAGGCATTAATCCATTCATGGATTCATAATTTGATAGGAAGTGATGGAAAGGATAAGAGATGGGATCTGATTCGAGGAAGCAGGTCACTGGAGACATGTTGTTGAAGGGTAGATCTTGTCCCTTGTCCATTCCTCTTTGTTACTCTGCTTCCTAACTACTGTGATATTCTCTCTCTCCTCAAGCCCAAAGTAATGGATCCAGCAATCTTGGACTGAAATCATCGACACTGTGAACCAAAATAAATCTTTCCTCCCCTCAAGTTCGTTTTCTTAGGTAGTTCTCACAATGATGTAAAACAGACTAACACACCTCTCCTTGAGTGCAGAAAGAGCCTGTATGATGGAATTTCACTCTTGTGATTAGGGTAGGCAGCAGTGCAATGTAGCAAAGATGAAGGGATTTCCACCATTGGCCCAGTGAAGATCTGAAATGGTTCTAGGCCTGTGTGTGGATACAAATGCAAATCATTGGTCCTTGTCTTACAGAAAGAGACAGGTCTTAACCACATTTCAGGTCAGGGCAAACCTCTTTATTGCAAACTACACCCTGGAGTCAGACCAGAGACAAAGACCCACATATGCCCTGAGGCATACTTGTGGGCATTTGGGCAAGGAATTTCAGGCTCACAGTTACCAGGGTGTGCTCTTAAAGGGAAGGAGGTCAGATTAACCACTGAACCTGGGATCTCCTCACTCCATGAGGAGGTGGGAGGCACAAGGTGATAGGATGGGGCTTCCTAACAGCAAGACATCTCAAACATTTATGCATATATGAATGACTTCAGGAGCTTATTAAAATGTAGGATCAGACCATTCAGGGTGAGACCTGGGGTTCTGCCTCTATCAAGCTCTCAGGTGACATGGTACTGTGGATCCATGGGCCACACCAGGCTGTAAAGCAGAGGTCCTGTTCTAAGGGCACTACCCCTGTTGAACCTGGCAGTGCATCCCTGGTGCTGAGGCATGGAGTCAGTCCTAATTAAAACCTGTACAGCAAAGAGAAACTGAAAACAGGAAGGGCTATCTTTAATTAAGTGTCCAGTCTTTGTGACTAGCAGGTTCACATGTGGTATCTCATGTAATTCATTGACTATTACCCCTTCTTGGGTAACAGCTAAAAATGTTGGTCATTCACTTAAAGATGTCCTTCCTTCTCACAGCACCTTCATTTCAGACCTCTGTTACCCAAACAGAGCTGAGGAACTACCAGCATCTTCTTTCTAAATGTTCTTTTTCTCAGACCTCACAACAACTCTGGTTCTACTACAAAATTATGCCATTCACCTCAGCTGAGCCATCCTGCTTCGTGATACCTCCCTTTAAGTATTCTTATTGACTTCCTTCACATTATCAACAATAATACCCAAGTCATTTCCACTCTGTGCTTAGCCCCATTTCCAACTGTCAGCAAGAGCTCTCCATCTCACTTTGAAAAGGGAAGAATGTATCATTTGTACCCATAATCCGAATTTCTTTCTTCTCTTGGGTTTTGCTTGTCAGACTTCCCCTGTCTTCCTCTCTCCATTCATTCTAACTTCTAATGACTCATAACACTGCACAGATCTACAGTTTTTTTAAAGGCCAGTTACACTGTGCCCACAGCCATGAGCAGAACTCTTGCTCCATTGTCGTTGCCTGCCATCATCACCTTAATCTCTTGCAGTCTGGGACTTTACTTCCCTATGCTATCCAAACTGCCAACTTGAGGTCATTCAAAGAAAAAAATTAGCATATTTATTCTTAAGATTATGATTTGCCTATATGTACATATATATTTATGAAAGCATGATAAAATTTTATTTCCTCAGTAACTCCTTTATCACAAAATAGGAACAAACTAAGTACCTTGTAGAGTTACTATACATTATCATCCAAATTAGTGAGATCAACATTAATGAAGCTATAGTGAGGTTCCATTCCATATATGACATGTCAATCATTATAAACAAATAAATGTCATTAAAGCAAAAAGGAAATCCTGATTTATCTATTTGTTGAAAGGAAAAATGCAATAAATACAATAATATCTATTCCAGCCTGCGTTAAGGAGATAGCACTGAAGGTAATGGAATAAAGATTTAAAGTAACTGTCAATCTGTGCCTTATGAATGCAGTTGCCATGGATATTCAGTCCATTTGAAGTCTGAAGTGAAGCGTATAATTCAAAACTGTGGATAGTTCAAAGATTATTCATTATACTTGGAAGGTTATGATAGTTAACCTTAAGCTAATAATAGATTTTTTTATTCTTTTTAAATCTTGTATATTTATAAATAGACAATGAAAATAGTTGACCTAAAAGCAAGATAACTGAAGATTTCAATCTGGTATTAAAATAATGTATATAACCTGCAGTTGCTTGTTGGACTGATCATTCATTAATCTTATAAAATTATTACTTATAAACAGTAAATGTTTGTAACATCCTAGATTTTAAGGGTGATCTTAGCCCACCAAAATTACCAGGTCATAATGGACATAGTTGGAAGAGAACTTTGAAACCCTTCTGATTACTAACCTTGAGCTACGAAGTATAACCACGTGTCTTAAAAAGAGTGGTATTAAAATATATATTATTTGTATTAATAAAATGTGGGTGCATGGATGACTTAAATTATAAAGAAATAAAAAGTTTCTACTTAGTGTTCATGCTGCAATTTTTGATTCCACAGAATTTTTTAGTTTGAGACATCACTCTGGAGACTTTGCTCCCACTCTTTCCCATGCTGTATTGTTTGACATCTACAAAAGCATGAACTTTTTCCTTAAAATTATGCACTGAAGGTTAAGACCATGGGCCATTCTTTACTTATTTTATCTGAACTTCTTTTCTCACTATTAGTTTAAAGAATGATAAAATAATAAATTGAGTGCTCTCTTTCCATAATTATATTGCTAACGGGCCAACCAAGATGAACTCCTAAATTATTCCAAGAGAATTAGAACTCTTCCTTTACCCTCCATGTATTCTCCTTCTCACTACAACTAAAGCCCTTGCTGAGGTTGTATAAATTAATATATTTGCTGGAAATATGACTTTGGGACATTTTATAAGCAGTGGTTTCCGTGCTGTTAGCAGTGAAATAGAAACTTGAGAAGGTAAAGATTAATTTAAACCATATGATGGATTGAAGAGAAAGGGATGTACTCCACAGTTCTTGAATGTGTGCTAACTCTTTAAAGTGGGGAATGGGATCTGAAGAAAAACACCAGTGAACTTTTCAACTGTCTCAAGAGGAATCAGACCGACACAATTAGCTCTGAGATGGTGGTGTTCCTACAGCAGGCGTCTTTGCTCTCTCTCACAAACAGATTCTTCTGCCCAAGAGAACACAGTTGGAGACCAAAGAGAGAGGAGGTGCCCTAACCCTCACCACTCATAGAGTGAAGCTAGCACCATCTTTCCAGTCATTAGCTGGCTTACTGCCCTGTCTTAGCATGAATTCCAAATTCTGTTGGGTTTTTTTAGCAATAGATAGCCAACCAATTGTATGTTGTAGATAAGTGATGAATTTGAAATAAAAGATTTCTTTTCCTTTGCAGTTTGTTGTCGCAGTGTTCTGGACCATCTATGCTTATGACAGAGAAATGATATACCCAAAGTTGCTTGATAATTTTATCCCAGGATGGCTGAATCATGGAATGGTAAGCAGATTAAAACAACTAGCTTCCTTTTATTAAACAAAATCTATTAAAGTCCTGTCTTTCATTATTAATATTTAAGTTGATGTTCAAAAGGGTTTCATTGTGTATCCTCAATGTAGGTATAGTTAATTTGGTCCGTTCAGCCCCTTCCATTGCTCTCCCTTACCCTTTTACCTCCCACCCCACCCTTTTTCAACAGCGTTCAGTACACATTCTTATAGGTACTAGTGGGAGGGGGGAAGGTGAATGAAGGAGATTAAGATGAGGGTATATGGTTGATGGACTTCATATACTTATATGAAGTAGAACAAGGAAACCTCTTGCAGTTGCTTTAAGTGGGTGGGGAGTGGGTTGAGGAGGAGAGACAGTGGGGTGATCTAACCAATGTACAATATATGCCTGATCAGAATTCTAACTGTGAATCCTCCTGTATCACAAATATATCCTAATAAAATTTTCTATAAAAAATGTTAAAATATATCTATTAAAGAACTATTTTTGAATTTACCCTTTTCATAGCATCTACCTAAATAGCTGTCAAATCTGGGAAGGTTATAATGAGAGATTATAAGTAGAAAAGAATACTGAATGTAAATAAAAATTCTGACTGTGGAATTGAGTCATCTAAACTATGTAGCAGATGAATTCACAGTTTATAAGAAGTGTCAGTGGTGTTAGGTCAAACAACTAGCTCATGCTGGGATAAGTGTGAAATCTCTGTTACTAGAAGGTTTGTCCTCAGAGCCCAAGGACTGACTTCTGCCTGCACAGCCAGCAACACCACTCCAACTCCACTTCCCATCAGAGGTGCAATGTTGGAAGTAACTACTGGCTATGGAAGGTTTCTCCTAGAGAAGCAACAAGGCTGTTATTCCTCATAGATCTGTTGCAGGCATTTGGAGGTGTCACTGGCATGTGACATGTTCACCTTGTCACGTTCTGCCCTTGCTGGGGAGCTTGCCTTAGGCATTTTCCTTCTTCTCAGTCTAATTCTTTGTGATGCTTTAGCTAGTTTCAAATCAAATACTTTGGATTGTTTGAACATCCCATTACAAGATTTGGGTTATATTTTCCACAGAGAAATTTTGTGTCATCTTCCTTTTCAGCTTCTGGAATTGAGCACAGTTTTGCTATTAACTAAGAAGCCTGCATTTTAGTTACAACAATTTTTAGAATAGTCCCAGGTTGTTTCTGTTGAAAAGGGCAACCCATCACAGAAATTATAGGGAGAAAAAGAGCTAGAAATCACGAGTTCCAGGTCCAAAATAACCATTTTCCTTCTGCCCCCAATTTTGGTACATTTTAAGAAAAGTGTGTACTAACGAGCAAACATTACTGTACTGGAGGACTTTGATCCACCCTTTCCAGTCAACTAGTCAAAGGTGTCACATTTCAGTGGAATTTTCTTTGAGTTCAATTAGGATTAACCTTGCACCTCTCATCTAGTTTCCAACATATAAGATGGGTCTTGTGGGTTTAGGAAGGTGAAAAGCCCTTTTATAACTCCATGCTTTTATGATCTTCTACCCCAAATGCCTTTTTCATTCTTCCTGGGCAGACTCCTGCTCATTCTGCTAGCTTAGTCACTATCTTGTTTTAGAAACTTTTCTAACTCCCTAAGCCAAGATAGCTGTTCCATTATTGTGCTTGCACAGCACCCTATCTCTATTATGCATATCTGTATCCCCATAAAAACATTAATGCAGAACAATAGCCTTTGAATTCTGAGACTTTACCCAGTTGCCTGTCATTTGTAGGATCAGTCTATGCTTCTTAGATTGACTAATGAATTCATAATAGTCAGTTTTCATAATTGTTTACTAGTCAATACTAATAGTTACTGTTTTTGTTTTTTTGTTTTTTTTCTGAGAGGAGGAATTCTACTGTGTGCCAGGCATTCTACAGTGGTGTACTACTTCATTTTTATTCTAGTTTTCAAAATTTTGTTATTTATTTTTTATTTATCATACATTAATAATACAAAGGGATTTCATTGTGATAATTCCATACATGCATAATTCTTTAAACAAGCTCACCCCCTCCATTATATTCCCATTCTTCCTCTCTCTCTTTGCCCCCTCTTTCAAACAGTGTTTGGTGGGTTTCATTATGCTGTCTTCATGTGTAGACATTTTGAACAAGAAATTATTATGTCATTTACAAATGAGGAAACTGAGGTTCCCCAAAAATGTATAATTTGCCACAAATCATTTAACTAGTGTGGTTAAAATGGAATCTGAATTCAGGCCTATCTGGCCTTAGTGTTTACTCTTCCTACTTGTTTGTGTATTACCTGAACATACTAAATATTGATTCTTAGAAATTGTTACTTTGTGTAGCTTTTACAAATGTAGGTCTAGATGATACAGGATATACCTCTTTAGGATATTTTGAAGTTTAGTTTCAAGCTACCTACATAGTTCAGTTGTCTAAGAGAAACCAGTAGACAATTAGCCAGGTATTTTTAGAAAAGTATTTCAGGACATTCATGACTCCCAAAAGCAGGAATGTTAGTGGAGATGGATTTTGCAGATCACCACTACATACATTAAACCAAAAAACGTTGTCATGTGCTCTGTGAGGAGCAGCCTTTGGTCACAAAACAGGTGTATTCTTATACAAATAGTAGTCAACTTTTGTGATGTTATTTCCAAATATAAAGAGGAGTAATGCCATCTACATAACTTTTCATTAGGAGTCCATACTGAATGAACTGGGAAAGACTTCTGAAACTGCCACCTGCTGCACAATGTAAAATAATTTCCTTTTGCTGGCATTAGGTGAGCCTGAGATGAGAACAGTTACATCATGTGCTAACGAGGTACAGTCCTGGACTATTTGGCCTGTTGTTTACAGCCTTAAACGGCACAATATTACCTCCAGGCCAGAGAACCTGCACATCATCTGCAGATCTTTGTCCTAAATTTTAAATGTCTCCAACAAATGATTTATCCAGCACGTGTGTAGACATTAGAAGTTGGACTTGACTCAGTTTTTTCCTTGACTTGCTTTGATGAGTTAAAGTTCATACTCTTACTACTTAGAAACATAAGGAGTAATTGAGGAACACAAATGTTTAGGAAAGAGAAATTAATTAGCATGTCAAATCTTTTGAGATAATGAGCTCAGTAGATTATTTTACAATGAACTTTGTTTCCTAGAAGAACATGAATGGCCATTTCTTTGCTTTCTTTATGTTTCTATTCGTAGTTCCAGAATTATTGACAAAAGGTTGCACGTAATAGTTGAGTAATATTTTGCAATATTAATTTATATTGTTCTAATTTTGTATGTATATATTACTGTGAGTATAACTTGCATAAAACATGATGTTGATTTCTTAGATTGGCAATTAAAATATGAACATTTATTTTTATAAAAATGTGTTATAAGATTTATGGAATCGCAAAAAATTAAATAAGTGTTTTTAGCTGTGTTTAAGTTTTAAAGGTTTAACAATGATTAACTATAATTTGTATTTGCTGTTAATTCTAATAGATAATTTTAAATATTTAATTTGAAAATAATATTTTAAATATATGAAAATAATTCATGATTACATTTTTTCCAATTGATCATTTAGATATTTTTATAGTGTTCAATTTTTGAAAATTTCCATTATAGTATATTTCATGATTTTGCTCAAATGAAGGCAACAAAAATAGAATTTTAGCATATTTATATCCATGTTTTAAATTTTAATATTTATATTTGCAATTTATAAATATGTCATTATTTTACTACTCATCCAATCACAGATTTTTCTGTTTTGTTTGTGAAAACATACCTGACAATGTAGGAAGATAGGACATATTTTATTTACTATTTTATCAACTTCACTTATAACTTCTCAAGATTTCTGGCTATCCAAGCCTATCTGCCTGCACTGTAAATGGAGTAGTAAGTCTTTTTAGAGTCTTTAAAGATCACTCCAACACAGCTGTGGAAATCACTTTGGGAGAAGTACATGAAATTCAAGCAGTTATTGTACTCATTGGTCTTAGAAACAAGAGGTATGGTAAGGCAGGCCACGTAGCATACAAATGGGGGCAACTTTCAGAGAGCGAGAGAGAGAGAGAGAGAGAGAGAGAGAGAGAGGAAGAGAGGGAGGGAGGGGGAGAGAGAGAGAGAGAGAGACAGAGAGAGAGAGAGAGAAGCCATAGGCTCGTGCCTTCACTGGAGGTCAAGGTGGAGTGTATAAGCAAAACATATGAGCATCTCTGAGTCATAGGGGAGGGCAAGAAGGGAAACTTGTGACAGGATATCAGCCCTGTCACATAGGTGGTAGGTGCTCACAGCCTATTTTGGAGGGATGTCAAAGCACCAGTAAAACATTTTTAAACATTTATACTACCATTGCCTGTTTAGATTTTGTAATTAAAAGAATTCTAAGAAAGAATGTACCCTGTTAAGTGTGCAGACTCACACTGTCTGAAAAGCCTCAGCAGAATTTCTAGGTTTCTAAAGCCAAGAACCAAAGAACTGAGATGCACTGTGTAAGTCTAGCATGGCATCATCTCAGAGAACACCATCAGCTCAGTTTCAAGTTTACAACATTGAGTTACAAGCTGGCTTTGAATTTACAACCCAGAACAAAATTAGTCAGACAGTGTGCCTCAGAAACACAGAATCCAAAATTCACATGGCTTTTATTTTGTCTTAGACTGATGTTCCTGGACCTTAGACACCATAACTAAAGGAAAGTGTCATCTCTCTTCCTGTCTGTTATCTACCTCTGTTCTCTCAGCAACCAGTCCAAGAATGTATTTAAAGAAGAGAACAGGAAATGGGTAAAAAAAAAAATGAGTTAAAATAGTAATGTAATCTTATTGTGTGACTACTAGGTTATCTCCAGATTCCATGAAATAGTCAAAGAATTTAATTTATTGCAATTTAAAATATAAACTATAGCACATTTAATTGGAGCCAATTCAATACCTCAAATAACCAGTTGTTCTATCCTTCTTCTATCATCCATTTATTTTTGTATTCTTGGCAACTCCAATAGCATGTTGCAACCACCAGACGTTCATTACGTGTTGATGATTGAAAAGATGTTTGTGCATTTGCTTTTGATGCTTGGAAGAATGTCACATTTACTTTTCTGTCTTTTTCCACTGATGATCACATGAAAGAAAGGCAGAGGTGGTATCAGCAAGTGATTCGGTTTCCAAACTGTACTGGGAATGGTCAAAGATAGTTGTGGCCGGCAAATTCTTCAA